CATTTAAAGACGACACAAACACGAACACGAGACATTTATGGTAACTGATCAGTTAAGAAACAGACGACACTAACCCGGCGGAGTTTGAGTCCAGACTGCGGGTGGTCAGTGCAGTGGTGTACGTCCGTTATCTTATCATCCCAGGTTGCGTCCTATCAATCACACCTCCCCTCTCCAGTAAACCGATGGCAGTGTCATACATAAAATTAGACGAGAAAAATTGTTGGTCATTTAGTACATTATGGTGGTCGGATTTTACTGCCTTATATATCTCAAACTCTTCCAATGTGTTAAGTTTATATCTGTCTTTACAAAAATGTAGAATATCCATATTGCTGCTAATGTTGGTATAATTGTGGCCTTGGGATATTAAATGTTCGGCAAAAGATGATGTTTAGTGGGCTGTTGACGCTTTTGGAATATGCTCTTTGAATCGTTTTGTAAAGGAACGTGCTGTTTGGCCGATGTAATATTTCGTACAATCGGTGCAATTGATCTTGTAAACGCCAGTTTTATCAAAAGATTGCGTCATCGTGGGACTGCGTTCCTTTAACAATGAACCAAGCTTGTTTTCTGTTCTGAAGGAAACTCTTTTTTAAAAGAGTTGTAAACAACACAAAAATTGAATTTGGAAATGAGGAGTTAAATTTACTGTGCAAAGGCTTAAATTTTAATTTTCCTAACAACAAGAAATATAGTCTGTTTACTGAGTTACTAGACACTGAAGCTTCAATTAAACAAATAAAAAATAATGAGGTACGTGAAGCTGCTCGAATCATTATGAGTGATAAAGCTAGATGTATCGCAAAAAATCCCCCACGTACAAGAAAACATTTGAAGTTCAACGCCATGAGACATGTCCTAACGAGCGTCAAGCATAAGCTTACCGACCACAACGCTCTTATCACCAAAGCTGATAAGGGCAACTCAATTGTGATAATGTACAAAAACGATTATGTAAATAAGGTAACAACGTTTTTGAACGCTAACAAAATACATACTTTAAATAAAGATCTGACTTTAATTTACAGCAAATTGATAAATAAAGCCATTTCAGAAAGTAAAAACCTTTTATCAAAAAGTGAAATCACCTCACTGAAAGTAACTAATCCACAAGCCCCTATACTCAGAGGCCTCCCCAAGATCCATAAGCCTGACGTCCCCATCAGACCCTTGGTAAATTTTAGGACCCACACTCTTTCTTATATATATAAATGACCTACCAGCACATATTTCCAAAAGGTTCGTACTATTTGCTTATGATACAAGTGTAATAGTTCAGGAAAAAAACCTGAAACACTTTGAAATTAACACTGAAAGATCTGAAGAAATGGTTTGAATCAAATGGACTTTTACTAAATGAATCTAAATCTAACATTATGCAATTCCACATCAGAATTAACAATAACCACAAACTCAATGGAACGGATTTTAATATCACAGATAAATATAAATTTCTTGGAATTAATATAGATCAAAGTTTTAATTGGAAATCACACATTCAATATTTGGTTAGTAAGTTGACTTCTTTTAGGTTTGCAATTAAATGTATTCAAAATTCAGTGTCACTAGCAACATTAAAAATTATTTATTATGCTTATATACACTCTCTGCTTCGTTATGGAATTGTTCTGTGGGGAAACTCAGGGGATATTAGCAAAGTTTTTAAAGTCCAAAAAAGTATTATTAGAGTGATGATAGGGGCAGAATATGGATCAAGCTGTCGTCGTTCTTTTAAGGAATTAAAAATAATGCCATTGACTTCTTTGTACATCTATGAAACAGTAAATTTTGTTCATTTAAATAATCCACTTTTTGATGAATTTAGACCCACTCATAGTTATAATACCCGAAACCCAAATCTGCTAAATTATCCAATTCATAAACACTCTCATTTTGAAAAAAACCCCATCTATATGGGGATTTGTCTATATAATAAGATCCCCTCAAAAATAAAATCCTATACACCACAAAAATTTAAAATTTGGGCTAAATCATTATTGGTGGAGAAATCATATTACTTCCTGGCAGATTTCCTAAATGACCGTGACATTAATTGACCATTAGTTTATGTAAAATATGACACAGAATGTTTTTAATTGTTTTAGCGAATTTCCCATATAGGGAATAAGCTATTACCGTAGTACTCATGGTAAGACCTGAACGCGGGACCGATTTTTTTTTTCGTTTTGAGGTCCCTAGAGGCCAAAAACACCATCCGTTCAAATTCATATATATATATGTGTCCGTCAGCACGATAACTCGAGCAAAAATGATCCGATTTTAATGAAATTTGGTACAAACGTGTAAACCTACGTCTACTCGAACGAGTTCGCGATCCAGCATGATCGGACCATGGGAACGGGTGTTTACGGGGGGTTTTATGGGGTAAAAATAGGTTTTTCCCAATTTTGACCCAAAAAACATAAAATTTAGCAATTAATTTCCAAACCATTTTGTAGAGCTTCAAAAAACAAATAATTTAGTATATTGAAGCGTTATTATGCGCCTAATGGTTACGGAGAAAATTCCAAAAAATTGTAAATTTAATATTCCCATGTTATTCTTATGGAGAATGAGTAAACTGTTGTAGTTTGCTTGTTTATCAACATATTTTGATCAAATTTGGAAAATGTTTTTATTTCTTACTAACTATTAACATTTAAAAAAAAAAAAACAGTTTTACCCTCCCTGATGCAGCAAACCTAAGTAGGCTACTTGTTAAACTAATTCTATTTAAATCGGGAATAAATGTTATATTTTAAGTAGACATTTCAGTGTAAATCCAACCAGTCAAATGGAAATTCGCTTAGTCTGCAGGTTTGCTGCGGCGGGGGTATTTTTCTCTGATATTGCTTCAAGATCTTTATTTAAATTTGTCTTTTTTCTAACTTGTCTGAATTGGTAACTATCTCTCAATTGTGCTGTTCTTGTTGTATTTTGTTGTAACTTATTACTTTTAGTTTTTATAACTTATTGATTGACCATGCATCTATTCACCATTGCCTTTGTAATGAAGAATGTTTTATGCAATAAAATACTTATGACTTATGACTTACATACAGCAGATCTATAGAATAATAATTATTCTCTTAAGCGTTCTCTTCCCGTTGCAAAGCACGGGTATGGTGGCTAGTAAAGATATATTTATTTATTTAAGTTTACCAATCTTAACATCTGTACAGTTGAATGAATTTCAGCCTCTAAGTATTTTAATTTCTTAATGTCTATTTTTAGCATATAATTATTGTAGCTTTTTACTATGATGACAATGTCAATTATAATTTTCTGTATTTTTCATAGACTGATTAAATTGGTATTCATTGTACATAAAAGTTTATATATTTAACTGTCACTGATATCATTTTCAATCTATGAAGGGTTTGGACTGTTTCTTTACAAAAATGTTTACAAAAAAGATGTTTTGTTTTTTATATAATTTATTTGAGTCTTAGTAAAAATTCTTTAAAATATTTTAAGGACTATAAATACATTCTATGTTCTTTTTTCTGTGTCTAAAGCACCATACAGTAAGCTAGCTCTTAAGGGTGCGCTCTACCTCAGCTCGGAAATCTCAGCTCGGGCTTCAGTTGCTATGTTGCACCATTGGACAGTGCCCCGAGAAGCGCTTGCAAAGGTTTCCTAGATTACTGTTTTCAAATTAACCAATAATGATAGCTACGCACTCTAAACGGCTTATAGTAGTGCAAATACCAATCGAAGGTGTGTATTTAAAATAAATTAAATAATGAAACACAGAAAATTTCATCCTCTCTAATATGAGACCTTAACTTTGATTCTACCTTCAATGTAGCAGGTGAAAACAGTAATCTTGCAAACCCTTGCATTCAGTTGCGCGTCAGGGGTAGAGCGCACCCTTACCCGACTCAAGTATATTTTTCATTGAATTATTGCCCAATGTTCTACAAAAAGTTTACTTCAAGTTATTGACCCTTTGTTTATTTTTAAACAGATCAAATTTGACATCTGAGCTCACTTACGCCATAGAAAAAAAGGATTAAATATAGACCGTCAGCTGTGCTGCGGTTACCATAGATTCTGGCGCACACCGCTTGGAGCGCCATGTAGTTACGGCGTACGCGCTACGTAAACTACAGCGGTGTGCGCCGGAACCTATGGTAACCGCAGCACTGCTGACAGTCTATATAATTCTTTTTGTCTATGCTTACACCTCTCTAAGTTACTAAACCAAAAAAGATTCATTGGTAATTTTTATTTTAGAAAATTTGGTAATAAAGGTGCAGTTTATTTTCCCTCACCTTTTATCAACACTTGAAACTCTTTAAGCTTTCAGTTGTTTAATTAAAGTCCACTAATGAGTATTCAGAGGTAATTGCCGATTTGTTTGATTTGTTATGTATTGCAGGTGAGGTGTGGGAGTGTGGAGCTACCTCTAGGTCCCACACTGAAGCTAGTTTATGTATGCTCTTTGTGTATCTGGGTAGTCATCTGTAAAGGCAAGGTGTTTGACTTGGTATGTATTGCAGGTGAGGTATGGGAGTGTGTGGAGCCGCCTCTAGGTCCCACACTGAATCAAGTGTCTGTGGGCTCGTGGTGTATCTGGGTGGTAAATTGTGAAGGCAAGATGTTTGACTTGGTATGTATTGCAGGTGAGGTGTGGAAGTGTGTGGAGCCACCTCTAGGTCCCACACTGAATCAAGTGTCTGTGGGCTTGTGGTGTATCTGGGTAGTCATCTGTGAAGGCAAGGTGTTTGACTTGGTATGTATTGCAGGTGAGGTGTGGAAGTGTGTGGAGCCACCTCTAGGTCCCACACTGAATCAAGTGTCTGTGGGCTTGTGGTGTATCTGGGTAGTCATCTGTGAAGGCAAGGTGTTTGACTTGGTATGTATTGCAGGTGAGGTGTGGAAGTGTGTGGAGCCACCTCTAGGTCCCACACTGAAGCAAGTGTCTGTGGGCTTGTGGTGTATCTGGGTAGTCATCTGTGAATGCAAGATGTTTGACTTGGTGTGTATTGCAGGTGAGGTGTGGGAGTGTGTGGAGCCACCTCTAGGTCCCACACTGAAGCAAGTGTCTGTGGGCTTGTGGTGTATCTGGGTAGTCATCTGTGAAGGCAAGGTGTTTGACTTGGTATGTATTGCAGGTGAGGTGTGGAAGTGTGTGGAGCCACCTCTAGGTCCCACACTGAATCAAGTGTCTGTGGGCTTGTGGTGTATCTGGGTGGTCATCTGTGAAGGCAAGATGTTTGACTTGGTATGTATTGCAGGTGAGGTTTGGGAGTGTGTGGGCCACCTCTAGGTCCCACACTGAATCAAGTGACTGTGGGCTTGTGGTGTATCTGGGTAGTCATCTGTGAAGGCAAGGTGTTTGACTTGGTATGTATTGCAGGTGAGGTGTGGGAGTGTGTGGAGCCACCTCTAGGTCCCACGCTGAAGCAAGTGTCTGTGGGCTTGTGGTGTATCTGGGTAGTCATCTGTGAAGGCAAGATGTTTGACTTGGTATGTATTGCAGGTGAGGTGTGGGAGTGTGTGGAGCCACCTCTAGGTTCCACGCTGAAGCAAGTGTCTGTGGGCTTGTGGTATATCTGGGTAGTCATCTGTGAAGGCAAGATGTTTGACTTGGTATGTATTGCAGGTGAGTTGTGGGAGTGTGTGGAGCCACCTCTAGGTCCCACGCTGAAGCAAGTGTCTGTGGGCTTGTGGTATATCTGGGTAGTCATCTGTGAAGGCAAGATGTTTGACTTGGTATGTATTGCAGGTGAGGTGTGGGAGTGTGTGGAGCCACCTCTAGGTCCCACGCTGAAGCAAGTGTCTGTGGGCTTGTGGTATATCTGGGTAGTCATCTGTGAAGGCAAGGTGTTTGACTTGGTATGTATTGCAGGTGAGGTGTGGGAGTGTGTGGAGCCACCTCTAGGTCCCACGCTGAAGCAAGTGTCTGTGGGCTTGTGGTGTATCTGGGTAGTCATCTGTGAAGGCAAGATGTTTGACTTGGTATGTATTGCAGGTGAGGTGTGGGAGTGTGTGGAGCCACCTCTAGGTCCCACGCTGAAGCAAGTGTCTGTGGGCTTGTGGTGTATCTGGGTGGTCAACTGTGAAGGCAAGATATTTGTCCGCAAGGAGGTGACATCAGTGTTTCCCGAGGGCACTCACTGGCAAGCAGTCATAGACGCTGGCAGTGGACCTAAGGATTCAGGTGGCTACAATTGCAAAACCAGAGAACTGTTTATTATACTGTACTGTGTTATAACTGTTGGTTGTAAAACAGTTATAGTCCTCAATGTAGGCCTACCGTCTGAATATTTGACCATAATATTAGACTGAAATAAAATTCTACTTAATGATATGAATTTCAATTTCTTTTTCTTATAATTTCTTCATTAATTACTATATACACGATATAGTCTTAAAAGGTAAATATTTACGTAAGTAGCTAATTCAGATCTAAATATAATTTATATAGCAATGAATTAGTAAAAATTGTAAATCTTATCTTTCTAATATGTTTATGTAAGTATTTGTGTTTGTTTGTTTGTTTAAAGTTCAATCATGCATTAACTACTGGACGGATTGGGCTGAAATTTGGCATGATGATAGCTCACATTCCCGATTAACATATATAGTCAGGTTGGGTAGCAGGAAAATATTTCAGTTCTGGCAGAGAGGCTGCAATTTTAGGTGGTTATAGTATACAAGTTTCTGAACCTAAAACCGCCCAGACCCCAATTTTTAAGGACCTGGGTCGTCCGTAATGACGTCATCAAAATGGCGGCCGTAAGAGGATGCTGGGTCCCCATGAATTGGCTATAACGACCGAATGCCTGAACCGATTTTCATGAAATTTGGCACACAAGTGCTTGAATACATTATCTCGGCCTGGGTTGAAAATGGTCAAGTTTCATCGAGTCATTTCAAAATGGTGGCTGTTCAAAACTAAAAAAAATTATGAGGAAAATAATTGTGAATTGTTTTATACAGGGTGAGTTGCAAATGAGTTCCCCCCTACTTTTTTATACATTTCTTAAGATATCAACTCCACCTTAGGACGTAAGGTATGAAGGTTCCACTGCTTTTATCATACTTTCAGATGACAATTTCTCGAACTTGGGCCCTTTATCTATATAAATAAAATTAGAGTTTTGTCTGTACATTGCTCAGAATCATAAACTTTTAGGTTATTTTTACGTGTTGTACATTAGAAAAACCGAAACAAGTCTCATCTAAATTTCTGTCTGTCTTCCAGTCTGTTACACCCAAGAGCCATTTTACGCGGCCTACTCCTGAAAAACGAGAGTACATATCAAGTTCCAAATCATTTTAATGCATTCACTGGATTGGCGAGATTGTCTTTAGCCATTTTAAATATGGCGTCACCACTTTGTAAATAAAATGACGGACGTTTAAAAACCCAATTTTGTGCGATTTTTGTAAAGTTTTCTCCCAATGTTTAGCACATATTCTTCTATGAAATAACGAACAGCTGTTCAAATCAAGATTATTTCTTCTAGCTGTCACTGATATGTTTACATTGAATGTTGTTTACAAATACCGCAACCATTTCCGATCACGTTTTGAAAGCAAATCCAAACCAATTAAGATTAAAAACGTTTTTCCTTACATAACGGATTTAATTAATCGCAAGTGCAATAATTTGTAGGGTAACAGTAAATGAAAATAGAGATTCTGTGCATAAAATTGTTCTTGAGTTTTGATAACCGGGAAATAGACCTTGAATCAGTGTTGTATATTGCTGGGAAACTTACATTTTTTAAATGAGCGTTTTCAGTCAAGACTCGGCACACGACCGACGCACGTCTACTTGTCCATAGTAAAAATAAAAGTAGGCCTACCGTGTATTTATGTTTTATTCGTTATGTGTATAAGTGTACAGTTCGTGTATGTGTTTCAAAAACTCCAAGATGCACCTAATGGGGAAGCTCAAACCTTATATTAGGACTGATGATGGCGATTTAATTTCGCCGAAATGCATCTCCTGTAATAGGATACATTAGGATCGACCGGCGGACACAGGTAATTCAGCCTTTTATTGATTGTCATACCGATCCGGAACAACAACAAACGACATAAAATGAAGTTATGTTTAATAAATAGTTTGGCCAGCATATCTGAAAATATGCAAACCAACTACTGTTCTTTATATAAGAAGGTTTCAACTGATACTATAAGATCCCCGTGCGTAGAACGGGTACACAGCTAGTGAAATATAAACTCAAAGTTGATTAAATCAATTTAATGGTAGCTTCTGTACACCCGTGAATTTGCGGGTAGAACCTCTTGTTCATATTTAAAAGGAATTAAAAGAGTTTAGTCAGCTGCTTCAACTTAACAAGTTGGTCCTATGATATGCATTAGCATTAAAAAGTTAAAAATGTTTACCAACAGGGTGCAGCACTATTATTTTTTTGCATTTATGACAACAACTAATTTGAACAAAAGCAGCAAAAAAGCTGTGATACACAATGAGAGCTGTCAAAGTAGGATTGTTATGTTAATGTTTTTAATTCAATGAATAATTTGTGATATTGTGCAAATGTTTGATAATTTATTTTTTTTCTATTGTTTAGGTGCAGTGGTAGAACATTATGGCTATGGTAGATGTGTTATACTATAGCATACCATACATTTAAAGAACCAAATTTTATCAAACTGTGTCCTCCCCCATTGCAAATGCAAAGCTCGAGTATAATTACAATAAACATTTTATACTTATACGCCAACGCCGTACGAAGGACGGGTACTCTGCTAGTAGATAATAAGTCAGTAATAATATAGAATTAACAATATATAACATATAGCAATATATTGGCAAAAAAATTATAATTTACTCTTTGATGCTGAACTACTTCTTACAAACAGCATTATAATTAATTGATCATGTTATTTAAGAGTTTATTTTGGATATTTTCCATAACGATTTGTTAAAAAAAGTTTTCACAAGGTTTTGGGATCTCAAATCTGATCCTCTCCTTGGGTTGAAAAGTACATAACACATAACAAGATAAGTAGGCCTACACAAACTCAACAAAAGCTGTAAAATTACAAATAAAACTACATATTTAACTGTATAGTAGTCAAACAAAAACAAGCAATCTCTTGGATAAAATATAGAAGAGTAGTAACAAACGAGAATGGAGAACTCAATGAACATGACTGCACTGTTGATGCTGGCTATAGCGAGACTGAGGTCACATATCCTTCCAGCAGCTGCCGAAGCGAAAGCGACAGGATCCGGGAATGGCATTTAACCATTTTTTTTTTTGTTTTTTACTAATCGTGATGGAAAGTGTCTGCAATGATCTCTTTTTTAACTAACATGAACTCACCATCACATAAGAGGTTTCTTTAAACAAAGAAAGGCTTATTGTTGGTTTTTTTTCTTTGTGAACAGATATTGTAATGAAGTCCGTGTCAGTGGGAGGATCTGAGGTGTGGGCAATCACCAACAGCGGAGTCGTCAGTCGAAGACTGGGAGTCACCCTTGACAATCCTGCTGGCACTTCTTGGCTCTTTGGTCTAGAGGTAACTTTGTGGATCAGGCTTTATTTAGATTCCTCTATCCTTGACGTTTTATTAGTTATCAACTTATTACTGAATTGGTTTAGGCACTGGTTTGCTTCACAGATTCTTTAGGCATTAAATAGCAAAACTGGACGTTTTTAATTTAGGATTGGGCCTGCTAAACTCTACTGCTTTTTTACAAGTAACCAAAATATTTTAGGCCTTAACAATTTACTCAAGTTTTTAAATGTAGTTGTATTCGTGTCGTATTCACGTTAAATGTCCATTTAAGGTTAGCATGTGGTGGTTTATAATTATTAGATTGATATTTCATAGTTAATTGAAGCAAAAATTAAATTTGTTTAGTCAACAACAGATCTTGTTACTTGTTTATTTTTTATACAGTATTGTTTTTTAGTACGATGTTTGTTTTTAATATTATTGCTATCTGCAATAATATTTAACCTAGTTTTTTACCCCGAAAATTGGGAAGGAAATAAAAATCACGTCCCGAAAAACAAATACCAACAGTTGTGGATACAATTTTTTTTATTTTAAAGAACAGAAGACGGAACAGCTGTTTCAGGATGGCTGACTATTAATTACTGATTCGGAGAATTGGTAGAGCAACTAGAATAATAAATAAGTACCTGGGGACTGAGCTTTGTTCGGGGAAATAATTACTATACCCTGAGAGAAGGCTTTGGTTTATGTAATCTATCCTTATCTTCATTTACAGTCTATTTTATATCCAGCGGTAAACACAGCTGGAGAACGCAACAAACTACAACAATGCTATGCTGACGACGAAGCTACCTCCCCCCTCCTCAGTGCGTATAAACACGACATTGATGGATATAGTCTAACTGGATCGCGTTCTGGCACAAAAAATTCGAGATAACGCGCTGAAAATGACTAAATGCGGAGCGGAAGTCAGAACAATGGCGGAACTCACATTGACTGTATGGAACCATGTTGGTGTGTATCGAAGAGTGTAAAAGCGATCGTAGTGCGACGTGGTGTCGATTTCAGGAAGCTGTTGCACTCGCACACTTTGGTAAATAGCAGTAAAGTGAGATCCAACCTATTTCGAGTTATTTCGGATATTTCCGTGATGCCGAAGTCATCAGGACAACGAATCAGAGGCTTTCTCAATCCGAGCTCCGGGGGGTCGGAGCTCACATTGAAAACGGAGCTCACGTTGTTGGTGTGTATCCATGCATCGGACCTCACAATGTATTATTCCCCAACACACACACACAAACAGACATCACTTCAAAAACCACTTTTTTTTCAAAAACTACAAAACAGATATATCCACTCAAACTCGTTCACAATATACTATATTATATGGGGAGAAAGTAAAAAACGGTTTCTTGGAAAGATTCTTTGTACGGTAAGTACATCCTTATATATAATACGTGAAGGCGATTTCTACGAAACACGACTCCTCCGTTAATAATGGACGGATTTTTACAAACGACGTGTCAAAATAAGGTATTTTTTGTGTATACGCCCCCTTTCACCAATTCCTGTAATAAAAATCCTCCGGCTTTGCCCCACAGGCCATCAAAGTTGGAGTTTCTCCCATAAGATTAACATGGGGAAATCTAAATATTTAATTGGAAACTTTCTCCCCACTAATTTGAGAGAACGGCTGGGCGTAGAAACTTGGTAGCTGTCCAAAGAAAGGTCTTGGTCTGTAGATGAGTTATCAAAAGGAAAACTAAGCAAAATCCCTTAGGACTCTGCCCCAGAAGCCTTTAAAGATCCCTCCACAGAGTTGTTTACATTTTGGCCATGTGAATGATACTTTTTAATGAAACAGCTGTTCATTTTTAAATTGTATTTCAAACAACACATATTTATTGGAAGTTACTGAATTCTACCAAATAAGTATTTGCATTGTCATTTTCAGATTTTAAAATAGATTTTCTTCTTTATCATGTCATGTTTTGCATATAACGTTCCATTATCATGGTGTCTACTCTCCGGGAAATTCGGGAAAACCGGGAAAACTCCGGGAATTGTATCTTACCTTGAAATGTCCTGGAAAACTCCAGGAATCCACCCAAACCTCCGGGAATCCACAGCCCGGTCATCGGAATCGTCGGCTAACCAAACACTGCCGCTTTTGTTGCCGAAATCGCGGGAGACAATTAATTATCGGTGTCGCCGAAACGGCAAGATATCCTCACGGGTATTGGCACGATCGCGGGAGACGATTATCGGTGTCGCCGAAACCGCAGGATATGCTCACGGGTATTGCCGCGATCGTGGGAGACGATTATCGGTGTTGCCGAAACCGCGAGATATGGTCACGGGTATTGGCATGATCGCGGGAGACGATTATCGGTGTCGCCGATACCGCAAGATATTCTCACGGGTATTGCCGCGATCGTGGGAGACGATTTTCGGTGTTGCCGAAACCGCGAGATATGGTCACGGGTATTGGCACGATCGCGGGAGACGATAATCGGTGTCGCCGAAACCGCAAGATATTCTCACGGGTATTGCCGCGATCGTGGGAGACGATTATCGGTGTCGCCGAAACCGCGAGATATGGTCACGGGTATTGGCACGATCGTGGGAGACGATTATCGGTGTTGCCGAAACCGCGAGATATGGTCACGGGTATTGGCACGATCGCGGGAGACGATTATCGGTGTCGGCGAAACCGCAGGATATGCTCACGGGTATTGCCGCGATCGCGGGAGACGATTATCGGTGTTGCCGAAACCGCAGGATATGCTCACGGGTATTGCCGCGATCGTGGGAGACGATTATCGGTGTCGCCGAAACGGCAAGATATCCTCACGGGTATTGGCACGATCGCGGGAGACGATTATCGGTGTCGCCGAAACCGCAGGATATGCTCACGGGTATTGCCGCGATCGCGGGAGACGATTATCGGTGTCGCCGAAACCGCAGGATATGCTCACGGGTATTGCCGCGATCGCGGGAGACGATTATCGGCGTTGCCGAAACCGCAGGATATGCTCACGGGTATTGCCGCGATCGTGGGAGACGATTATCGGTGTCGCCGAAACCGCAGGATATGCTCACGGGTATTGCCGCGATCGTGGGAGATGATTATCGGTGTTGCCGAAACCGCAGGATATGCTCACGGGTATTGCCGCGATCGCGGGAGACGATTATCGGTGTCGCTGAAATCATAAAATATGCAAACCTATTTTGCCGCGATCGATTGCCTGTGTTGACGAGACTGCAAGATATGCTCACCGGTATTCCCACGATCGCAGGAGATGATAGCTGGTGTCGCCTTACCTACTAGTTATACTGTTTTATTATGTTGTATAAAATATTTTCTTTGGAAAAGTTTTGTTTTAAATTAAAATAATCATAATAGTAATAATAAATTATTATTAGCGGGTTGCGATTAGTTGAACGGGTTCCGATAGTAGCTCTTAAAATTCAGGAATTTGTCTTGAATTCTCCTGGAAAACTCCTTGAATTTTTCAAACCAGGTTTAGTAGACACCATGATTATGAAATCTGTGGAAAATCCTTTTATCACAGCAATTCTTAAATAATTTCTTATTGAACTATCTTATATCTATTGTACGGGTTGGTGTCTGCCTTTTTCACCACTTTTGCCTACATTTTATCATATTATTCGACACATATCAAATATTTATGTAGAAATATCTGCTCTTATCGTGTCTAATAAAATCCAAACATAGAAACCTTGCCTAAAATGGTACCCATCTAGACAAATTATTTTCACCTGCTTACATTACGAACTTTGGCACACTGGGTTGGTAACATTATTGAAAATAACACAACATTTTGGCTGTAAAATATGGTACAAAGAGAAAATACTATTTAAACAGCCACTGTCATGACAGAAAGGTCATATTCCTTTTAAACTAGATCACATAATCCTTTATAAGATACGTTGATTAACAATATGTAAACGTCGATATATACGTAACAGCCAATTTACAGTATTTTTGCTTTTTGGAAATGTCCAATTGCTATGTCATTTGCATTATTTGTTGCCAATGAAGCCGCCAAGACCATACGAACTAGGAGGCCCCTAACAGTTGAAGAATAAAAGCCAACTTCACTTCAAGTATTCCACTACACCTAACATTCCGTAGAGAGATTATATTGACAACTTTATGTTATTGATAAGGCTGAGACAACTAACTGACATCCCCCATGTCAAGGAATTCCAGCTTTAACAGTAACCCCACAATCAATTTCTCAAAACTATGCTAGAGGGTTCATTCATTGGCACAGAAGTACGATATAAACTGACGCGACGTGACGAAGGAAAAATCAAACTTGCACTGTGACGGATATACTTCCCTTTAAAGTTAGAATATGTCTTTCCAAAAATTATTTTCTTTTCAAAGAAAATCATATTACACTGATGAAATCACGGAAGTGTTTAGCTACAGAATATCCAACAATACGATTTTAATACTATTTAAAGGTTCTTCCAAAGGAATAAATACCATATAACATACTAATAATAACTCCGATGACGTACAGTATAGGAAATATTTTAATCATTGAATGATCAACCAAATTTGGCAACTAACGCAATTAACCCTAGGAGTGGCGAGACCGATTTTCAGTATGTGCTTTGTGGAGTGGCACGCTCATTTTGGTGAATTTGTAAGGGAGTTCTTCAAAAATCTGTATAAAATTAGTATGTAGAGATAAACTATTGAACCGTATATTCATTTTGTTTGTAATAGTCAGTAGAATTCAAAAATGGTAATACAAACCAATTTTAGAAAGGTAGATTTTTATAAAAAAGTAAAAAAAAGAAAATTTATAAATTTTTCAAATTTTATTTCCAAAGCAAACACGTGTCACATGTAACGTAATTTTTTATTGCACAATTCAAAATATGCATTTTGTTCAGAATTTATTCCTCTACATAGACATGTCATAATATACACAAAAGAATTATTTTTATAGATTTACTAGCAATAATATGGAAAAATTGGAAAACGTCAATTTCTTCAACTACACGTTGATAGATCCACAAATGCCCTCTACTAATAAATCAATATGATAAAACCATACATTTTTGAAGCCAATAATATCATTCTATATAAGAATAACTAAATAAGATAAGTAATAGAATATTTGGTTTTCACAAAAGCAAAAATGTAAACAAAACAACTGATCAGCTGTTATAGCCCACAAAACTTCACTAACTTTTTATCCTATTTTGGATCACACATGTATAAATATTTATGCAAAATAATGCATAAATATTTCGCCTAATACAAAATAAAAAACTAAAACGAACATTACATTGTAAAATTAGGGATAAAACCCACACTTCTTCTTTGTTATCGGACAAAAACTCACGACGACACCGCCATTTTAGGTTAGACGATGACAAGTGTTCTGTTCCTTTAGCTTTGAAAAATCAAAAGCTTCTATTTGTGTGACCAGCCTAACAACATTGAATTCTACTGTCCTTCGTCTACAAGAGGGTATATAAAACAACGTTTTTGTACTTTTCACATTGTATATATATGCGATTTAGAAATCGACATTTTATGTCGATCCGCCACATGAACAATACGTAAAAATAGGCTATTTACAAAAATTGTTCATCAGCTGTTGGAATGTATTATGACATTATACTTTATACAGAATAAAAGATTTCTTCATGCTTGTTGCAATGGTACCACTTGCTTTTGTCAGAGACAAAAATTACGTCTGCTATTTATTTTTGAAATGACTCATCATTTACGATTGCGCAACAAAACATGGCGTTCGCGAGTTTGTGCGTATTTTTTGTTTAAATGTAACTCATTATAAGATCGATGTATTTATGTTATAAGGTTCATTCTTATAATAAAATGAAACTTCGGAATCTTATCTTTCCATTGGTATAAGAGTTATGTCATTTCACCGACTTTAAATGTTCTTAACATGCAACTGAAAAAAACGTTACATAAATCGACATATTCTGTCGCCCTCCACTCCAGCGGCACATTTTGAAATCGACATTTTCTGTCGATCTGCCACTCCTAGGGTTAATATCATTATTGTTTTTGCACTTATTACTCTTTAACCCTCCGAGTGTCCATAGTTTAGGCCTTAATGTCCACCTATTTTTGGCGCATTTGCAAGGTTTTATTAAAACGGATCTGAGAAGCTTAAAACAATGTTAATTCTAATGTTCTATATACCATTTTGTTTGGAAAATCATGGGCTTCAATATTATATATAAAACATAAGGAACATTTTTTCAAAAAAAAAATTTTTAGGTAAAAAAAAATATAATTTTGAAAATTTTCAAAAAAAAATAAGTTCGCGCTCAATGAAATGAAATTTTATAAATTATAGGCCTACAAATATTTGAAAATAGCCACTTTGTTCTAAATTTTATGAGGATTACAAATATATAATAATATAAGGAAGTAGATTTGCAAATAAATAAGTTATGGGCAAAAAACAGATTTCAGTACATAGCGTTTAGCTAAGAATGCATAGCCTAACCATAGCTAGGAATCTGGCTAATAATTTACATCAATATCACTACCTACTTCTTCAGGATCATCAACCAGCACTTCAAAACCACTTAAATCTTCTTATAATGCAACACGTATATCACTACTTTTGATTTTTAACACTAAAACAATGATAAACGTAATAAAACACATCAGTCATCGGTCCGAGGGTAACCTAGCTGTTTACAAATACACGCACACGCACGTCAGCTGTCTGCTACAATTAATTACGATCGGCTCAGAGAACGTACAGCGCTGAAAAAGAACTCTGGAGAAAGCTTAGAATAAAACGGAAAGAACGATACCTAACTCGATCCAGTTCAATCCGATTCAGTCAGTCATAGAGCCTTCGCCGTAAACGATGTTTGTGCGTCTTAAAAGTGACGCGTGACCCTACACAAAGTGTGTTGTGCGTCTTTTTTATGACGCGTGACACTCGGAGGGTTAAACAATGCTTAATTCTCAAAATATGTATATTTCACCCAATTTATCACAGCTAGATGAATTAACGTAAGCCTTGAAAGTAACCGTCGATTTCGACGGGTTTCCCCTAGTCATGTGTATAATCTCTGTATAATCACATCATGTTAGGTTAGTTTTAATGTTATAACTTCCAAAACACTAACACCATTGTTGTCTAATGACATTCTGTTACAGGGCAACTGGAGGAGCGTTAGTGCCAGAGGGTTCACAGAGCTGCCTCTGCGTTAGTGATTATATATATATAAAACAGATTAGACAATGCACTGTCAACAATAACGTTAAGTGAGTTAAACCTAGTCTTCATCATGGTTTTAACAAACCATAATCAATATTTGTGATCTTCTAGAGTATGTGGCTATAGTGCTGTGTGATATTTCTAGTCATTCCAAGGCATATGAGGTATTTTATTTAAATTGGTAAATTTTGGAAATATAGTTATCGGTAGTTAGAGTTTACTTTGAGATTAACATCACAGTTCCCTTTGTTTATTTAAGTTATCCCCACCCTTACATAAATATTTTTGGGTATTGTCCAACTACCTAATGGTTTTATTTTTTAGTATGAGTTGTATATTTTATAGTTATTTCAAGTGTTCTTTAGAATTACATTTATATCTATTAAAGAGGAACTATGTATGTATGTATGTATGTATATATGTATGTACCTAATGGATTCCGAAACCGCTCGACAGATTGTAAGGAAACTTTCAGGGCATTATTAAGCGTTATTCAAGGATGGTTTGTGTGAAGTTTGGAGCAGATCCGTGAAAAGGGCTCAGCCCCAGAGCGTTTTAAGAGGTCCAATGTCAGACTTTTGGAACTACAATGTTTACACATAAATATAATTTATAGTTCGGCCGCTTAGAAAACGACCTGCGCGCTTATGCTAAACCAATGCTAGAGGAGGTCATTTTCTAAGCGGCCGAACTATAAAAGCAGATGTTTACTTTCACCAACTGTTGGTTTGAATAATCACAACATTCTGTATTAGTCATGATTTAGAATATTGCCACAATATTTCCACAGAATGCAGCACAGAAAACTATTTTACTTTTAGATAAGTTCAAATATATTAAACCCCAATTGCAGCACACCTGTGCACTCAACGTTTAAATTCTCCCCTACTGTAATAAATATGTAAACATAAAAAGTAAAAACTAAAATTAACAGAGACTGAGGATGGGTTTTGATAAAAAGCCTAAATATACCAGTTTTTTAGTAATTGTGTATAATAATAAACTAACCAACACACGTAGACTTCTCATTCCATTGTAAATTTTGAAGCACGTTTTTTGTGTCTAGTTCATGTACGGTGACACTGGGTGCTAGTGTCAACAAAGTTTTGTTTGTATTATTTTAGGGTTAATTTCTTGATTTGCGCTTACTGTTTGTTTGGTCATATAACTAGGGGACAAATTATTGTTTATGATTATATCTTTTTATTTGGTTAAAAGAGGTTTTAAATTACTGAAATAACAAAATTTGATGAAATGAAATTTGATGAAAATTACTGAAATACAAGAAACAAATTGTAAACAAAATACCTCTACAGTACACTGTACAGAACTAACTATAAAATTGTCTTCAAATGTTCCATAAGGATAAGAAATCTAATAAGGCAGTATGTTTTATCCATGGTATTATTTAGTGACTAGCTGGCCCGACAGACGTCGTCCTGTCCTAATGTTGTTTTATGTCAAATACTCGTTAATTTTCAAGATGAGCTTGTTCCTGGTCGAAGTTCGTTCGCTACGCTCACTCACCTATAGGTTGGAGCTCGTTCGCTGCGCTCACTTGCCTTCAGGTTAGCTCGTTCGCTACGCTAACTCGCCTCCAGGTTGAAGTTCGTTAACTACGCTCACTCACCTTTTGGTTGCAAATTAGTTGTTGTCATAAATTTAAAAATAATAATAGTGCTGCACCCTGTTGGTAAACCTATTAACTTTTTAACGCTATTGAACATCACAGAATCAAATTGTTTAGTTTAACCAGCTGTTAAGATTCTTTAATTCCATTTAAATACGAGTATACTCATAAGGTTAACATGGGAAACTCCAGAGCCACTGGGGCCCCTTGACCCTTCTCTTCCCTTGACCCCCTCCCCTTTGACGGATCTGCACCAAACTTCACACAAACCATCATTGAATAATGCTTAATAATGCCTGAAAGTTTAATTACAATCTGTCGAGCGGTTTCAGAGTCCATAAAGGAATAACAAACAAACAAACATACATTGGATTTTATATATAGTTCAAGCAAATAAGTCCAAATAAGGAAAAATAGAGGAACGAATCTATGTATTCCCAATTTTTTCAAAAATGTGTCAGGGAGGGTCCCCTAATGAATATATGATAGGTGAGAATAAAATCACCCTGCCGCTCTCTGGTGGTGGGAGGTGTAAATGCCCCAATTTGCGGTTTTTTGCTTATTACTTGAAAACGGTGTGTGTTGTAGCTTAAATTGTTCAATGTAAAAGTTCATCTCACATTTTTTGTAAAAACTTATTTGTTTCTCCTTTTCTGTTATTTTTCAGAAATATTGACGGGAAGAAGGTTGTAGATAATAAAATTTACTTCAATAGTATATACAAATATGTAAATAGATAAGATGTAGGTATAAAGTTACAGCGATTTTAAGATTAAAAGAGAAAATCATGAATTACACAAATAGTTGCAAAGTTTTGATTTTTTATCATTGCACGATTTGATGGTTTCTGATAATTGTTTAGGCCAAATATAAGTATATTTAAGGAAAAAATTGGTAATAGTTATGTGAATAACAATTTGACAAAATAAAAAGGTTTTCTATTTATTTTGATGATCCAAGTTAAAACAATTAAAACATCTATAACATTAAAACAAAACAGTATTTTTTTATTTCACGATTCTGAATCAACCACTCGACGGATTTTCATGATTTTTGTGTTGAAAGAAAGATAATTTTGAGAACTAGGGAACGTCGAAGCCATAATTTTAGTTTAGGGTCCCAGTTTTTTAGAAATTAAGTTTTAGTTTTTAAAAAGTCTAGCAGCCGACGCTAAGATTCTAAACTAGCTTTTTTGGCATAAAATAATTTGCTTAACATAACAGCTGTAAACATTCAGCTTTTGTGTCACAAATTCAGCATTTGGATAAAAATGTAAAGACATACTTAGGGTTGACTTATTTAAAAATGTGTAATGCTAATCATTGATACGTTCAATTCTTCTGTAAGAGGATGACGGATTAATTAAATTATACATAGTAAAATACTAGGATGTTCAAATTATTTTTTAAAGCAATCTTTGTAATCTTCGATTTGTTTTAGAGCAATATAGTTTGTTTTAACTAACAGCTGGTTTAATATAAACTATGGAACTATGAGGTTATTTTATTTACTCTTATTTTGTCATTGATTATAGGAAATAAGTAAGATTAGTAGTGATAATTAGACCACAGTTTAAAATAGTTTAGACCAAAATTAATTAAACCAGTACAAATCGAGGCTCTGTACACGAGTCTTAATAAAAAAGGATAAATGTAAATTATTTTAGGGCCTATTGCTCCACTTTTCAAGGAAAGAATAGAAAAATAACAATGTTTACATGTTTTAATTCTTCATGGTAGCTTTTTGTTTACAATTAATGTTTGTCTGCTTTAACTTTGTTTGGATTAGGCCCGGAAATATTGATGTCATAAAAAGAAGATCAAGAATAATCAGGAATCACGATTTTAAATTACCACCACAACCTCAGCCGGGTTTTATACAAAGATAAACAGATGGATGACATAGATTGAACACAACGTCAACATTGTCCTAGGATACTGCAATTAGACAAACCATCCTTTTATGAAATCGTGTTCAGTTGTGGTTACGTTTGGGGGTGCCTATATCAGCGCCCCCAAACGTGAAAATATCACTTTTATTTCAACTATGAATATATTGTAGTTTAAATTAACTAATATGGGAAATTACGATGTACATTTATTCAATGAGGGTGGGTAATTATCAAGGATAGAACTGATAACGGTATGGATGATAAACATTGACAATTACGTCATTACCTTTACTAGCGTGTTTACTTTTTAAAACGTTTTTATTAGCTCGCTTTCTTGTCCGGTACAAATTTTGCAATCGATTTTATACTAAGTTCCCGATGAGCTAGAGACTTGAAACTTGAAACATAGCTCACAAATGGATGACAATGCAATATTTTATAATTTAATTTTCATATTTGCCTTGGGCTACGCCCCATGGGCTTGTTTTTATTAACTCGCTTTCTTGCAAATTTTGATACTTTCCGATGAGCTAGAGATTTGAAACTTGAAACATAGCTCACAAATGGACGACAATGCAATATTATATCATTTAGTTTTCATATTTCCTTTGGGCTACGCCCCATGGGTTTGTTTTTATTAGCTCGCTAGTCGCATTTTAAAGTAAATATAAAACATCTGCTAAGAGATAATAAGGTTTTGGTTATACAGGGTGGTAAAAAAGTCTCAGGACAGTTAAATATTTTAAAAAATAATGTAGATAGAGCTACAATATTTGGTACAAAGTTACAGGCATAAAACTCTATTTTAACACATATTCAGTGATCCAATAACTCTACAGGGGGACGGCCCACAAGGAGTTGGAAGAAAATCTTAAAGTGAAGCATATGTCAAAATGCACATCAAATTAAAGGTCTTTTTTAGTAAAATACAATGCCGCAAACTACACTTCAAAAGGTTGATCCTGCGCAAAATGGCAGATGTTCAAATATTTCTTGAATCCGCCATTTTGAATCTTTGAACGACTGCCATTTTTTACTCAGGTATTCTTTTGAGCTTGAATTTAAGGCATTGTATTCTACTAGTGAAGACCTTTAATTTGATGTGCATATTGACCTATGCTTACGTTAACAATTTTCTTCCGATTCCTAGGGCTGTGCCCCCTGAGGAGTAAGCGTATAATAGCGATGTAAATTAAATGAATCTTTGAACAACTGTCATTTTGCGCAGGATTGTGACGGGTAATTTGATAATATTTAGTATAAAAAATAATTCGATTAATTTACTTGGCCTACGTGACAAAATGTAGTCTAGGAGTATCTACAATTTTCCTGTTGGGACAGGCTTGTATAGATGGCGCCAATGCGATGACGCAAAACCGTCTCGTATATCTTCGGGGAGGTTCGGGAGCCGAGGGTGAGTTCGGCAGCCAATGGGAGAGCTCGAACCATAGGGGTTAGGTGTAGCAGGTAGCGTTGAGCGGGCACATGGCAAGTGAGTCGAGGTATACCACCGTAGATGAATGGACGTATTATTGTTTGGCTCCGATGTAAGGGTGATTAGTACTCTCGTGCTGCAGTGGACAAAGTGAATGTGTTTCCAACTCGTGCCGCCTACACATTATATCATTCTTCTGTGTTGTGAAACCGATTTATGTGATCTTCACGTTGTTAGCGACAATATAGGATAGTGCTGTTGTACCTGTGAGCATACATCGACATTTCCTGTCTATGGTGAGGGTGGATTTGATGACTTAGCAGCGTATATCTATCTTCAGACCGACGTTGGGTATTTTCCACCTCTACTATTTACGCAAAGACTGAGTCGGCTCGGCATCAAAGAAACGTCTTGTGGAAATCAAACTATTCTTTCTGATATCACCGTATCGTCTACAGTGGGAGATCTGTCTAGTTACAGCTCAGCTGCGGAACCGTAGTCAACGATGAAAACTTCAGATCACCACTCAAACAGGCCAGATTTAATCTAATTTAATTTGATTTAGCTAAGCCACAAATCACATATCAATAATTTAAATTCAGATAGGTAGGCTTGTCTAATTATTTAAAATTTATAAACAATCTCTAAATTTATCAATATCTTAACTTATGCTTGCTTTTGAATTCTGTAAGTAGTTTTTAAATCATTATGTTTAAATAAAGGTCCATTGTTGTTCTCAATTTTCTTTTTTTATTTTTCCTGGTTACTGTACAGCAATAATCTAGACCCTAAGTATAAAATAAAAAACGAGGTAGCTTAACTTAACTTATTGGAACCCAAATAATTACATCCAAATTTTAATTACAATTAAATACAATAAAAACCCCGTAGCAGGATCAACCTTTTGAAGTGCGGTTTGCAGAATTGTATTCTACTAATAAGACCTTTAATTTGATGTGCATATTGGCCTATGCTTCCATTTAAGATTTTCTTCCGACTCCTTGTGGGCCGTCCCCCTGAAGAGTTATTGTATTACTGAATATGTGTTAAAATAGAGTTTTATGCCCTGTAACTTTGTACCAAGTATTGTAGCTCTATCTGCATTATATTTTAAAATATTTACCTAACTGTCCTGGGACTTTTTTACCACCCTGTATATTAACAGGCCATATAAAATATATTTAACATATTTACACATTAGACTAAAAAGTTGAAAATCATTTATAAATAAAAAGCTTTTTTAAAACAAAACGTTTATAAACGCACTAAAAAGTAGAGAATAATTTATAAATATGTTGAGAGTATAAATACTTGTAAGATTTAAAACGAAAAACGTTGGGTGCATGCAATTAATTGATAATAATACATTAGTTCAATAGGTGAAGGTAATTGTAAATTATCTAATGCATGCACCCCACGTTTTTCGTTTTAAATCTTACAAGTATTTATACTCTCAACATATTTATAAATTATTTTCTACTTTTTAGTGTGTTTAAAAACTTTTTGTTTTGAAATAGTTATTTGTGTAACTAGTGGTGAAAGTGGCACTTTGCTGCATACGAGAGCAATGTTTACGCACTCGCCTGCGGCTCGTGCGGAATGATCTCGAGTGCAGCAAAGGCCTTTTTCACTCGTTTACACATTATATTTTTCCTACAGTCACTATAAAGCATATAAATAATTAATTAGTCTTTCAAATACTATACAACACGTTTTTAGGTTCAGCTGGCAACACAAATGGTGTCCTAGAGAAAGTAGTACCCGTGGTCCGTATCACTCCGCTATTTTTCCTCGGCAAGAAATGTGCTCCGTGTTTTGAGAATATAGTTCCGTATGTTTTTGTAATTTGAAGTGGTTTCCGCGCCTAAAAAATGCTTTAAAGGTATTTTCTTGTTTATTAAGATCGTAGGAATGTTTTAAAAACGTTTAAAAGAAAAGTCCAGAAAGTTCAGAAATACCGAAACGATAAACACGAAATGACAGGTTAATTCGTAGTTATAATAGTCAATCAGCTGCTCATATTATTATTATCTTTAAGTGTTGCCAACCTATTTCCAAGCGTACATGGATTACGTGCATAATAGAACCACGCTGTTGTTGTGTGTGTGTGTTGTTTCGTTGGAATCCTGATGTGCGGCAAAGTATAAACCGTACGGCAAAGTATAAACCGTATGGCAAAGTATAAATATGCAGCAATTAGCAGCTTTCTGTACTATAAACAGTACAAGGAAGCCAACTTTGTCGGGTGACTGTAGGAAAAAGCTTTTTATTTATAAATTATTATATTCCTGCTACATGTGACCAGTTCTTTTTTTCAAATGAATGTTATTTGAACCAAACAGCTGTTTCAAAACAAACTGTTATTGTTTTTACTTTTATTTGTTTACACTTATTTATTTAGCAATTAATGCAGTGAAATTGATATAAAGGATAGGTGTGACGATTAGTTTTGACGTTAGAACACCAAAGTTAAATTATATGTACTGTGAATTTTATTGGATATTATCGTTTTATTTTAGGTCGTTTCTATTCAGACCTG